GAGTGTTGCTTTTGTGGGTTATATGAGCCCTCCCGTTGTAATTGAATCTTGATTGCTGTTGGCCCATTCATGCATTGGGTCGACCCTCAGGCTGACTGACTGTGAGGATATACCTAACAATAGCAGACAACCTGTAGTGCAAGTACTGACCCACAAAGTGGAATTCACCTCAGTAGGTCTGGCACCCGCCATGATCTTCCTTTGGATGTGCCACTTGTGGAACTAATTGGATCCTGCTGTGATGATTTCTGAAGCTCACCACTGGTTGTATTGCTACTAGGGCCTCTTGGGAGGGACTATGGTGCAGGTCAATGTCAGACGCTGCCTGGAACTGGCCCTGGCCCTGGGCAAACTGGAGCTACAAAGTGATCCAAAGTTGGTGGCTGCCTCTACTGGGCCTGGGTGTGCATAGGATATACTAAGATGCATAGCAAGATGGGCTTCCACCAGAAGTGAGCCTGGGGACAAGTCAGCAAAAGGCCCAAGGCACTCTGATATCTGCCTCCACCTGCCTTTGCTCCCAGGCTGCCTGTTAGTTTCAGTCCCTGAAGGAGCCTCTGGTGGTATTGGAGTTGCAAGAGGTAGGTTTTCAGTAAGTCACCAGGTAGGTGCAAGTGGTGTTGACCAGATTGATACAAGTTCAAATTTGGTGCCAGTGCTGGGTTTGAGGCCACTCAGCAAACGTACCAGGGCACACTAAGGCTAGCTGTCACCTGCCAGGTATCCCTAGACATTGGCTGTGTGAATGAAAGGCTCTGCACTGATCAAGTGTGCTAAGGAAAAGTGGCCCTCTTCCTAGAGACACACAACTCAGTCTATTCCTGGATTCTTCCTGGAACTCGTGGAGTACCCCAGCTTTACAGGGCAGGGCCACCAGTAGTACAGAAGGGTGGGTGCATTGAGAGTCTGGAGGGTGGGACTAGTGGATTTCAGTGAGGGGGAGACACTGGCAAAGCTCATGGGGAAACTGGGGAAATGGTCCCCATCACAGAGCCACACGACTCAGTCACTAACACACTCCGAGTATGCCCAAACCTGTACACCCTGGGCTCAGGCAGTTGACTCCTCTATATGGCTACATGGTGAGAGCTCCACTGGGTGGGGTTATATTGAGTCCAGAGAGTAGGACTATTGCATTTCCCCAGGCTGATGCTGTAGAGAGGGGAGTGCCCCACCCAAGAAAGATGGTGTCTGCCGTGTGGGAGAATGACTCAGTACAGGGGTCCTGGTGGCTGTCCCTTCAGGTCTCTCCCCAAAACCCCAAACCCCAGTCTCTCCTCACAGTAGTCTAGTCCACTCTGCCTTCCTTCTGCCAGAGCCCAGGGTGAATTGTTACAAATGATATTTTGTGTGTTGGCCCTTTAAGAGGGTGCCTGGTTCTCTAGCAGACTATTGTCACTCCCTGGTGGATAGAATCCAGTCTGATTTTCACAGCCAGATGTTATGTGGATGCCCCTTCATGGCTATAGTGCTCTGGGATGGAGAGCTTAGCATTGGGTTGAGACCCCTCACTCCTTAAGAAGAGCCTTTGCAGCTGAGATGTCCTTCCAGATTCTCAGCTGCTGCCTGTGGGAGCAGGGCCAGCCCTTCCTACCAGTCTCAATGTGACTTCTTCTGTAAATCCTTGGTTATAGGACCTGTTCAGCTAGTCTTCAGTTGGTTATTGAGGTTGATTGTTCTATAATTTAGTTACAATTCCAATTTGATCTCAAAATGCCTTTTTAAAAATTTTTAATTTTGGTTGTATTCCTATGTAAATATATAGAGTAACTAATGCGACAACACTAAGACTCCATAAAATAAATAGACAAAGGACATGAAGAGGCATGCCATGTCATAAAATTAAAATGCCTTACTTTTTGTTAAATAAAATCTGTTTAACAGACTGACTTCTTAGCCATTTTTTGATATAATTCATTTCATTTCAATCTACTGAACAATGATTGCTTTATTTATTTGACCTTTAAGCTATTCAGTCATTAAATATTTATTGTTTATTATGTGGCAGGCATTATGCATGTTGTGCTTATATTCTTCATCTGGATCAGCACTACACACACTCACATGCAGGTACGATAGCAGTCACTAGGGTTATAATAATCAACAACGTTACATAGTCTTTGCACTTTTGAAGCTAAGGATTTAGCACTGTATTTAGCATAGCACGGGAAGAACTGGGTTGTACACCGGAATGACTTCCTGATGGTGAACTGCACTAAAATGAGGTTTTAAAACAAGAATGGACAGGTGTGATAACAGGAAAATTCTTCCACAGACAGTTTGGTTCCCTTCCTTATAGCTTCTCTTTTCATTGGGAACTGCATACCTATGGTGACCGATGTATGAGCCCTCTTCTTTATAATGCTCTGTCTGCATTGTGCTCTATTTTCTGGTTCCTCAGATGAGCTTAGTCAGCACAATTTAACACAGATAAAAGCTCATTAGCCTTGCCTAGCAAAGTGGTGCTGCTGAATTGCCATTTAGTTTTAAAACAATTTTCAGGCCTTGCTGTTAATCTTATTTGCATCATGTTGTTGATTTTGCTGTATCCATTTTGCTCTTCTTTGTGAGCAACAGCTGTGGCTATTCATGAGGTTTTCTTGGCTGTATACATAAAGCTGAAGTGCATTTTTAAACTGGCATCTGCGTCACTACTTGCTTCCTAGCTGGCATCCTAGAGCTTCTGGGACATCTGACATGGTCGCTTTGAGAGCTCTCTTCCTGTTTTGGCCATCCATCACAAGTTCTTTACCTTTAGTTAATCTTAAAGGGAAATGACTGAAACTGGAAGCAACCATTTTCCAAAAAATAATGTGTTTATAGAATATTAGGTAAAATTTATTATCCAGACATATTGGATGTTAATATATATCGAAGACATGCATGTTCTTTGTCATAACTTGATTTGGGATATGCAAATATAGCAGTATTTTTCTAGAGGAACGTCTTTGTAGCATCACCTGTACTAAGATACAGGTAAAACAAGTAAGGATAGGAACAGGCCAAAAGTCATAGTCAGAACAAACAATGGGGTAAGAGTATAGAAGCCCCGGTCAGGTGAAAGAATCATGTAGTTATTGCAGATGCCTGGCTCATAGTATATGTTCAACAAGTCATTCTTGAATGAATTAATAAGTAGTTGAATTCAGGGGAGTGTGTGAGATAGGGAAGTTATCAAAGCCAGAGGAAAAAAGGTTTAGTCTGACATTATGGAGTTTGAGGCAGCAAGACCATCCTCTAGGAACAATGAAATATGTTCTGCTCATAGGAATGGAGCTGTTTGTCCTTTGGCCTATTTTATTCTTTCAGCTGTGTATCACTGGCAGCTCTAAGTCCCAGGTGAATAATTATAGCTGGAGAAAGTCAAAGGCCTGCAGGTGCATCCTGAGCTTGATTGGAACAGGGGCAGAGGTGCTAGGATTATGGGGAGGTTCTTACATTAGCATTGCATATGAACATTCTCTCTTCCCAGTGGTGTTTTATGTACAACAGCGGAATGTGGCCCATTTGTTAGCCAAATGATCTCAACTATCCAAGGCAGCCCTTCCTGTGCATCTGCTTCTAGGCAATCAGGTAACCCAACCAAGGTTTATGGAAGCTTTTTCCAGCCAGGGGATATGCTAAAGTGAAGTTCCTGGCTTCAGGCACCATCTTAACATAAGTAACCAGAGTTCCTTTCATGTGAGGGTGGTGAAGGCTGGAATCTTCCTAGAATTAGAACAACATAATCCTGCCTCAGATATCTCTAGATAGTCAGAGGGTCCCACCTACTCCTATCATAGGGTATTTATATCTCTTTATATGCTTACCCTTTGTTCCTCCTTTAGCAGGTAGAATCAAATCATTAATGGTATAGATGGGTGACTGCTTCATTCTGTAAATTACCTTTTGGTCAGGTTTTAACTATATTCTAATCAGATCTGTTTTTAATGAAAAACATATTGATGTGTTTTAGAAACAAATCTTGAAATGTTTGCCTGTCTTTAAAAAATATTAGTTGCAAGTATCTAGGTTTAATAAATACTAATAGTTCCATATGACTCTATGGTCACTACATTAACTTTTAAAAATAATTTTTTTATAAATAAGGGAATTTTGAAAAGCACTGTAACTTTTCCAATGTGGCCCTTCTAAAACCAATGGGGACTTGAATAATTATAGTAATTAATATTTTTCAGGAAAAAAAATATATGTAGAGAGGTAGGCTCTGGGCCAATACAGCAAAGAAGGAAAAATATACATTCTCAAAGCACAGTTAACTCTCTGGCTAAATATGTGAAGGAAAAAACTAATTTTCCCATACTGGGAGGATGTATATTTTGAAACAAAGGCTTCTTTTGGAAGCTTGTGTCAAATTAGTTGGCTATGGATTGAACAAGAATAATAGGGAACACACTTGTATAAAACCCAGCTGCTGTCTCTAATATTTGGTAATGAACTGCTTTTTGTATATGAAGATGACGACACTAACCAACTGGAAGTATGGCATGTGCTGTGAGTATGTGTCTGCAGGAGTGAGGCTGGATTATTTCGATCTTCCACACTCTAGGGCCCAGCCCCTCTTGGATCTCTTGAACATATTTGTGCAAACTAGATATAGTCTGTGACCAAGTAACAGAGCCAAGTCAACTGGCAGAGAAAAAGTTCAAATCCGTGTCTTTGGTCTATTTAGTCTTGCATTCAAATACTCTGAGCTAATCATTCACACAACACTGAACATCACAACTATGTATAGTTACCAAGAGTCACAAATAATAATTCTCTCTATTATTCTGTCCTGACTACTGCCCATTGCATAAAAGTTTCAGGTCATATCATATGACTAGGTTATGTTGAAATGTACTGGGTTTGTTATAACATGGAAGGTAACTTACTTTCCAAAAACTAAGAATAGTCTCTGACTACAGTGCTTATTCCAGCCTGTTAGTGGTTATAGATTTTTAGCACTTGAAAAGAACCTGCTAATATGTGCAACCCTTTTGTTGTCCTTTATATTTAAGACAACAAGGAATATGATGCCTATCTCTCTTACACAAAAGTGGACCAAGATACTTTAGACTGTGACAATCCTGAAGAAGAGCAGTTTGCTCTTGAAATACTGCCAGATGTCCTAGAAAAACACTATGGATATAAACTCTTCATCCCAGAAAGAGACCTGATTCCAAGTGGAAGTAAGTACTTTCAAGTTTTATATTTTAAAAGTTTGTTTCTTTAGGAAGTTATACAGAGGCTTCAAACATTAGAGCCACGTATTTTTAGATAGATGTTTCTCACAGGAGATTTTATTAAATTCAAATTTCTCAATGACTATGTTCTAACTTTCTAACATCCACATTTTTAAAAAGGCATTCTCACTTATATTTCAGGTATGGTTTTAAGTTGTGCCTTAATGATATTTTTTATTATATTGCCTTTGTGTTCTGAGAAAGTGATCCTTCTTAAAAAAATAATCTGTATAAGTCAGTGAAAGTCTTTTCGATGCATTTCAATTCCAAAGCTGGTCTTTTGTCATTTTGCTTCTACATATATATACAATCTTGTCACTAATAACTCTGAATTTATGCCTTGTTATTCATTTTCAGATTTATAGAAAAAATCCACTTAAATAGGTATGTGAGACCACTGGAAACTGCACTTTCGCTGTGTATTTAAATTATTTTTAAGAAGTTTTGGATTATGTGGGCTTGAACGATACTTTTAAATTATTTTACATATTGAAAGCTGTATTTCAGCTTTCAGAATAAATTCTGGTCCAAGTAAAACTATATACTTTGTTCCTGTTAATGTTCAGAATGCTGTACAAGGTAGAGTATAAGGGAAATACAGAAAAGCATAAGACATGGTACCTGACCTCAAAGAGCTTAAAATGCCATTAAGGGAAATAAAAGGTGCTAGAATTCATTTGCATGTGAATTTATGTTAATATCCTTGAGAGGGGGAAGCTGAAATGTAACCACAAATCAGAATATGGTCATTTATACACATGTGATAACAAAATTAAAAAGCTTATATTTTCAATACTTCACAGTATATAAAGTATTTTCACATACACCATTTTATTTCATCGTTACAATAACCCTATGTAGAGAGAAAGCAGGTACTATCCTATTATAGTTGAGGAAGTAAGGCCTCAAAGAAGTCCAAGATTAGACGGCTGTCAAGTGTTAGAGCTGGAATTAGAACCTAGATCTGTTTGACCCTGGTTCTCACTTCAATAGATCACACTATTACTTAATAACATTTATTCAGATTATCAGCAGTCCACAGTGGTCACTAAACAGACAGGAGACAAATTGAAACAACTGAGTTCCAGTTGTTCATCTTTTTTCTCAGAGTGCATACATGTCTATGTATATGTATGTGTACACATGAGTATGCACATTTACATGTGCGTACAAAAGAGTAAAGAAAATGGTATTTACTGGTCCATTACTTTCCTGTACCACAAATGAAAGAATTCCTCAAACTTCTTCACATCACATCGTCCTTCACTTCTTTCCTTCTGTAATTTTCTTCATTTTGATTACTTGACATACCATTTCTATATCGATCAAGCCTTAATGAACATGCTGATACCTCAGAGTCATTTTTCATTCTTCTGTATCTGTCTCCCAAATCCAGTGTCCATTGCATCTTTTCCATTCTCACTTCTACCATTCTAGCATAGGCCTTATTTACCTCATTTCTGTAATGTTAATTACTCTCTACCTTCCCTATTTTTCCTCTCGTCCATCTAGTCCCACAAATATGCATATCTCCTTGATCATGTCACTCCCCTATTCAACATTCTTAAATTGTTCACCATTTCCTATAGGATAAAATTTATAACTCTTAGCTAAACACTTCTACAGTCTGGTGTCAAAGCAGATTTATTTCCTAAAGTTATCCCCTGCCATTTCACCTACTTATATCTTCCACTCTAGTCAAACTGTCCCTTTGATATACATTATGTGTCCCTGTAATACTTTCATTCATGTTAGTCTTTTATACCTTTATATATCCTCCTTATCCTTCTCCATATAGCTGCCTCTGTGAAATGTCCATAATAATTTATCTAGCCCTGGAGTTCATGATGTCTAATCACTTGTTTGACTATAAATTTTGTATGCCTATGATATTTTGTATTATTTTATGTACATTTCCATCTATTTATGTCAGCAAGATTGTAAGCTCCATGAGGGCAGAGACCCTATCTCATTTATCCTCATGTCCCTGTCTCCATCTAGCAGATTAGGTGAGCTCATTGGATGCTTCATAGATGCTTGTTGATTTTGTTTGAACAGTGTTGGTTTAAGACAGGAGGAAATAATGAGAATAAAATATGTAGGGTTTTACATTTTTTTCATTGTTTTTTTTAATTTTAGTTTTCAATTACAGTTTACATTCAATAATATTTTATATTAGTTTCAAGTGTACAGCATAGATTTTTTCATGTCAATATGTGAAAGATATTTTTCTTTACCAAAGTGAATATGAAACCTACAAATGGGCTTTTTACTGAAAGAAAAAAAATTTTGTGAGTAATTCATAGAAATCGTGTCAGTCCTTAAGACAGGCTAATGAGTATATTACTTTTATTTTTTCAGATATTTGAAAAATTAGCTACAAGGGATTGATTAATCACTGATGAAAATTTTAAATACTTTACTATTTTTTTTTTTTTTTTGCTTAATTCATTAAGTTACTATGTAGTTTTTGTATTTTTGCCAAGAGCATCTTGTTAAATGTAGAAATTCTGTAAAATCTATTTTAGAGTGATAATAGCCTAAATTACATTAAAATAATATCATTACCAAGCAGAATTTATATTCAGTGTCAAGTCATCTTCAGTAGAACTCAATGTGGTGCCAGCCTTTCTGCCTTCTTGCATTCCAAAATAGTTAGCCCCACAATAGCCAGTCCTTAAAAACCTCACCAAGTGAATAAAAAATGGCAGTCTTTATGCCTAAACATTTCAACATCACCTTTATTCTTCACTAGAAAACAATGCTTCTCCACTGTACACATTAGAAAGGGAAATGGGGACAACATGGAACATAGGAGATCCACTTTACTTGAGACTCACTAGATGACACTTGCTTATTGTGTAAAGAAGCAACTATTTGTATGTGGGTGAGAATGAGACCCAGAGAGCATGGTGGGGAGAGTGATGCATCTCAAAGTTGTGTACTCCTAGTGACCCCAGAGAGTCTATTTTGATGACTTGACAGGTCAATTGAATCAACTTGCTGTGTCAATTTAGCCAAACAGGTGGTAGAATATTTTACACCTCATTGAGTCAGCTACTTGTTTGGCTGAATTGATTGAAATTGATTGGTTGTTTTGTTGTATCATAACAGGTCTGAACATCCTTCTTGACCAAAGGGTGTGAGGCTAATATAAACTGTATTTCCTACCTCAAAACTGCAATAGTTGAGAACTATAACACACTGCATAAAAGATTAGAGGAGGTTACCCTGGCTGGGTGGCTCAGTTGGTTGAAGTGTCATCCCATACACCAAAAGGTTCTGGGTTTGATCCCCAGTCAGGTCACATACCTAGGTTATGGGTTCAATCTCTGGTTGGAGGTGACCAATTGATGTTTCTCTCTCCCATCAATGTTTTTCTCTTTCCCCTTCCTCTCTTTCTAAAAAAAAAATCAATAAACTAAAATAAAAAAACATATCCTCAGGTGAGGATTAAAAAAAAAGATGATAGGAGGCTTTGACCTACTATACCTTGACATTTAAATAATTTAACATAGAAACACCCAAGAAGATGTCATCAAAATGGGCAGAGATTTTATGTTCCATAGCGATAATTTTAATATTTTTGATATTGCTCAACAATCAGACTGAGCAGGAACTTGAATCCTGTATACTCAATGGTGGACAGGGAGACTCCTTTTACAAGTAAGCCATTGAGACAACTATGCAATTTTTAGATGCAACCACTGGAGGGTGTTTGACTTTAATCCTTCCTTCCTGAATGGAGAAATTCATGCTCTCTGAATTCCGATTTGCGAGTATAACCTGCAGAAGTTCTTAAAGAGGCCCTTTGACAATTTTTCTTTTCCATCAACATTTCAGAGCTGGCTGAGCAGTCACCATGTCACGATTAACGAGTTTTTCCTTGGCATTTTTAGCATGCATTCAGGAAGTTGATGAAGTATATGAATAATATACTTGATTTACACATGAATGACAGAGTAGAACATTTTGGACTTGGTGTATGTATGTTATTAAAGAAGCTTCTGTGGTCTGTATTTGCAGCCATTGGTACAGATTTAACAGGTTATGCTATATAAATATAGACACATTCCTGTGGGGGGAAAAAAAACTAGTTACAATATTATAAGCTATGTTTGTCCCTCACATCTCATTTAAAACATGTTGACCCAAGACTACTCCTTCCTCCAAAAACTAGCAATGAGGCCTTTGAGGATTGTAAAAGCAGACTTTATAATATTCTTGACCTACAACAATAATTTTCTATGAATCAAATTAGTGAACTCTGTGACATAAAACCTTTCATATTTAATGCCTTCAGTTTCTTTTGCACCACTCTCTTAGTATTCCGATTCGAAATCATTAACACCCAAAATCATTAACCTTCCAATGCATACAGTTTTAAAAGCACATGAATGGGGAATGGGTCTCCCTCCACCTCTCTCTCTTTCAATCTCTCTCTCTCTCTCTCTCTCTCTCTCTAACTCTCTCCCTTCCTCCCTCCCTCCCTCTCTCCCTCCCTCTTCTAAGAGTTCTCAAAAAGCTTCAATACAATCATGGCACTTTCCAAGGTGAGATGGAAATATCTGTACCCTTCTCACATGGCCTACTAGGGAAGTGTCCTTTGGTCATCATGAACCAGCAGAGATGGAGAGATTTGACATAAATGTTTTCTCTTAATGCTAAAACTAAGTCTTTAGATCTGGACATTATTTTCCTGGCAGTAATCGTCCTTTCCATTCTTGGGCCTGTGGCCAGGATCTTTCTTATGTTTTCTCAGGTTTGGTGCCTGAATGTGGCAAGAATTCTTACTTTCCAGTAAAAGTTTGGTCTGTCTCTTCCCAGGCTAGAAACATCTGTCCTGAGAATAGCAAAAGCAACTTTGTTGCCAACAGGCGTCTGAATGTCAGAAATGACAGGCAACCAAAAGAAAGCTAGATTAAAAAACAAAACAAAACAAAACA